TTAGGAGGGATGACTGCAGAAATAGCATCAGACACATACATTTATTCAGATGTGCTGGTGCCTCTTGATCTAGTCTTATGAGCTCTTGTGCCCAAGATAAGATCTGGATATTTTTAACCCTCAGTTTCTTAAAAAACCACCTGCTACAGGAATTGGGCCATTTTATTGTCATTTTTTAAATGATTGGAGGGTGGGGCAGAAGTAAAGAGTTGCCCACATCCTTTATCAAAATGAAGATCCACCCAGTCCACTTTCATCTGGGAAGCTCAAATTTTCAAAAGTATTTTATAATCACAGGTGTACTATGAATAAGGATTTTTTCCCCCAGTATCAGCCATGGCTAATAGTCAGTGATAGACCTAGTCCCCGTTGATCTGTCAACTTTTTTGAAAATATCCAGACTGCTAGCACTCACCTTTAATAAGACAGGTCCCTTTAGCTAATTCTGGAATTTCATGAAATATTTCTTGTTGTTTCCCCCCAGCAATTACAATTAGTTTATTTCGGGTGTTTGTGTCCCAAGTTCTTAGAGCTTTTCTGAGATAGTAGATCATTTCTCTGTATAGTTAGTCTCTCTCTGTCTCATCCTGTGGTCATCCTGCTCTGACAACTTTGTAAAATTTCTTTATTTGAAGATACTAGGGCTGCCTTGCATCCGGAATTTCCCAGACATAGTCAAGATTCGTCTGTTGAAAATGGCGTCCGGGTGTAATTTTCAAAAAGTGGCTAAAATGTTTGGAAAAACCTGGGTGAATCGCAGCCCATATCGGAAGTGTTGATTATTTGGCTAATTTCCTAAAAATTAAATTTAAAACTTCTCTCTTTTTGCCCTCCCCAAAGCTCTCCCCCTCCCCCAATTCCTTGTTTCAACTTCAAACCTTTAAGGGCAGAACTCTATACATGTCTACTCAGAAGTAACTGCAATGGCTCTTACTCCAAGGAAAATGGTTATAGGGTTGTAGCTTTAACTTATGTTAAGAATTCTACTGTCAGTGTAATTTCACCCAGATTTCTAAAGAACAGCTTGTCCTAATTGGAGGAGGAAAATACATTCAGGGTTGTGGGAAGCACACCTAAGCAGTACTGCCAGTGCAACTGTGCTCTTAACAGGAATGGTGGAAAAAAATCAAAGTGGGATAAAAATCAAAGTTTAATTTATCACCTTTATAACAGTATAATTACTTTCCAGCTGTTCAATACATTTATCTCCTGTGTATTTTCTTGGTTTTATGCTGTGCTGAACAACAATTTTGAGATCAGCAAATGAAGACTCAGTCGCTATAAAAGCCCCCTCCACCGAAATAAAAAAATAAAAACCTGGGAATGTAAAAACAAACAACTATGTAAGATAAAAAGCCCCTGAGTTGATTCAGTGCTGCTGGAGCATTTGCCTTGAATTCCCTTGGCAGCTGAAGTTGCTGATCAATAACTGGTGCCATTGGCTGGGTCACCAATAGTAACCTTGGCAATTAATAAGCTTAAGTGTAATACACAAAGCAGAGAAAAAAGAATGTTTCAGAGTGCTTGGTGTTGGGACAGAATTTGCCATTTTGCAGTTTTCCTTCATGTGGTTGTTATCACAACTTAATGTTGGGATGATAAATGCAAAACAAAAGGGGATTTTAGTTGCCATAGCTCATGAACCTCAATATACCCATGTCTAACTTACAATGAGGCACCGACATGAGTCCTCCCCATCTTTCAATTCTTGTAATTCCAGTGACTTGGGACACTTGTGATGAGAAAGTTTAGTGCGCAAGGTAACTCGAGAGTTAATCCCAGCCACCTCTTCTGTGCATTTAACAGTCTGTGTGAAATATTTGATCACATGATTACTGTGATGTTGTATTTAGTGTCCGTGAGTGGACCCTTCCATTTTTGCAGTACACACAAAAACACCCATTAATCACTCAGCTACCCATCACCAGTCTGTAGGATAGGCAATTCATGAAAGCAGTTAAACTCAGAGTGAACTGATGCAGATAGCGCGTGAACTGGGTTTCTGAGAAATGGAGCCCCGACTTCTGAGTTCAAGAATCTTAGTGTAACTGAAGTACGCTAAAGTTGCTACTTATGATTGAGTGAACATCTTATGTGTGTTTACACAAGCGTGTGTGCAGTGAGTATTTTCACCCTTTGTTCCTTTTGTGCATTCCCTAAGAGCTCCTTGTGCTCCATTCAATATGCTTTTTAAATTCAGGTGGGGTGAAGAGGGACACTTGGGAAAGAAGGGGCAAATCCCCACTATAAGGCCTGCCTGTGACTCACATTGAATTGACTCAGAAATGTACTATTTACTACTAAATCTGTCTGATGCACACATACCACTTGACAATTAAAAACTCCACTTTATTCAATATTAGATTTCATCTGAAGCACCACATACTGTGTTGGGTAACACACTTTTAAGAACAAAGTAGATAAACTGCAATAGGTTTAGAGAAGAGAAAACCAGAACAGTTGTTGAGCTCCTATTGAGGGTATTCAGTGAGCCAACATGACAGTGATGTGGAATTGAGGATTGGAGTGATAATTCCGTAATATGGCAGGGGACAAAGCTGTATTGTAACTTTTTAATAAATGTTAATCCTCATCATCATGAGAAGAGAAAAATGGGGGGGGGGAGCTTGAGAGCATTTTTCAAATACCTAAAGGGCTAACGCATGGTGTTTTGTTACCTTCTGCCCCAGAAGACAGGACAGGAGAAAATGGAACCAAGCTCCAGGAGAATAGATTTCAGTTAAGCATTAGGAGGAACTTCCTGGTGGTTAGATGGTTCAACAATGAAACCAGTTATGTAGATGGTTGGTGGTCTCCTTCTGGAAGTCTTCAAGACATCTCTTGGAGGTGCTCTAGCTCTGGATCTCCTGCACTGAGCAGAAAGGCAGATGGATTAGATATTTTCTAAGGCCCCTGCAAGTTTATCCCCCCACCCCCAAGAAAAATGCTAATAATAATAATAATAATAATTTATTATTTATACCCCGCCCATCTGGCTGGGCCTCCCCAGCCACTCTGGGTGGCTTCCATAAAAACCACAAATACAGTAAAATATCACACGTTAAAAACTTCCCTGAACAGGGCTGCCTTAAGATGTCTTCTGAATGTCAGGTAGTTGTTTATCGCTTTGACATCTGCTGGAAGGGCGTTCCACAGGGCGGGCGCCACTACCGAGAAGGCCCTCTGCCTGGTTCCCTGTAGCTTTGCTTCTCGCAATGAGGGAACCGCCAGAAGGCCCTCGGCACTGGACCTCAGCATCCGGGCAGAATGATGGGGGTGGAGACGCTCCTTCAGGTATACTGGACCGAGGCCGTTTAGGGCTTTAAAGGTCAGCACCAACACTTTGAATTGTGCTCGGAAACGTACTGGGAGCCAATGTAGGTCCTTCAAGACCGGTGTTATATGGTCTCGGCGGCCGCCCCCAGTCACCAGTCTAGCTGCCGCATTCTGGATTAGTTGTAGTTTCCAAGTCACCTTCAAAGGTAGCCCCACGTAGAGTGCATTGCAGTAGTCCAAGCGGGAGATAACCAGAGCATGTACCACTCTGGTGAGACAGTCTGCAGGCAGATAGGGTCTCAGCCTACGTACCAGATGGAGCTGGTAAACAGCTGCCCTGGACACAGATTTGACCTGTGCCTCCATGGACAGCTGTGAGTCCAGAATGACTCCCAGGCTGCGCACCTGGTCCTTCAGGGGCACAGTTACCCCATTCAGGACCAGGGAATCCTCCACACCTGCCCGCGTCCTGTCCCCCAAAAACAGTACTTCTGTCTTGTCAGGATTCAACCTCAATCTGTTAGCCGCCATCCAACCTCCAACCGCCTCCAGGCACTCACACAGGACCTTCACTGCCTTCACTGGTTCTGATTTAAAAGAGAGGTAGAGCTGGGTATCATCCGCATACTGATGAATACCCAGCCCAAATCCCCTGATGATCTCTCCCAGCGGCTTCATGTAGATGTTGAAGAGCATGGGGGAGAGGACCGAACCCTGAGGCACCCCACAAGTGAGGGCCCAGGGGTCTGAACACTCATCCCCCACCACCACTTTCTGAACCCGGCCCAGGAGGAAGGAGCGGAACCACTGTATAACAGTGCCTCCAGCTCCCAGCCCCTGAAGACGGTCCAGAAGGATGTTATGGTCGATGGTATCAAACGCCGCTGAGAGATCCAGCAGAACTAGGAAACAGCTCTCACCTTTGTCCCTAGCCCGCCGGAGATCATCAACCAGTGCGACCAAGGCAGTTTCAGTCCCATGATGAGGCCTGAATCCCGACTGGAAGGGATCCAAATGGTCCACTTCTTCCAGGCGTGCCTGGAGTTGTTCGGCAACCGCTCGCTCAATCACCTTGCCCAAGAATGGAAGATTTGAGACTGGGCAATAGTTGGCCATCGTGGCCGCATCTAAAGATGGTTTTTTAAGAAGCGGTTTAATAACCGCCTCTTTCAGCGGGTCTGGGAAGGCTCCCTCACGGAGGGAAGCATTCACCACCCTACGAAGCCCATCGCCCAGTCCTTCCCGGCTAGCTTTTATAAGCCAGGATGGGCAAGGATCCAGGAGACAGGTGGTTGGTTTCACTTGTCCAAGCAGCCTGTCCACATCCTCGGAGGTAACAGATTGGAATTGATCCCACTCAACTTGACTAGACAGAACTCTAGCACTCTCCCGCCCCGGCCCTGCTCCCACGGTGGAGTCTACTTCTTCCCGAATCTGAGCGATTTTATCTGCAAAAAAGAATTCTATTGCTTCACACAGATGTATCCTGAGTGTGCAAAATATGGAGATAACCAGATTGCACCCTGAACACTACTCACCTCCTTGAGGCAATAGAATTCTTGGGGGATAGACCTTCTTGACCATCAGCAGTTCTCCTGCATGCCACCGCTTTAAATTCTTCTAGTGAATCTAAAGGCTCAATATCCTATCCCTTCTCATTTGGGTAGTGAGTGCCATAACATGTGTGCCATAACATTATGTGTTTATTTATCTATTCCCAATAGATCTTGAAAATTTCAAAACCAGGACAAGAAGTACAGTGTCAGTACGACAAGGACAAGGGATGGTTCTGCTGTGTGGACCACCTCCACATTCTGGCGGTGAGTAGTATAAATGTCATCAGTATAAACTCCCTTGTCTTGCAAATGAGTGCAGGGGTTCTGCATCCCAGTAAATTGCATACAAGCCCCACTCTGGTGAATGGGATTTACAAAGGAATAAATATGTGCCATCAGTGATCCCTTAACTAGATCCACATGCTGCCACAGTGAATAATGGCAAATCTGCCACCTTTATATAAGAACATAATAAGAGCCTGCAGGATCAAACAATTGGCTCTTCTAGTCCGGCATCCTGTTCCTACACTGGCCAACCAGATGCGTATGGGAAATGTGCAAGTGGGACCTGAGCGGAAGAGGACTCCTCCCTCCTGCAGTTTGAAGCAACTGGTATTCAGAAGCATACTGCCTTCCACCATAGAGGCAGAGAATAGCCATAATGGATAGTAGCCATTGATAGCCCCTTTCCCCATGAACTTTACTTATCTTCTTTTAAAGCCATCCAACTTGTTTGCCATGATTTCCTCCTGCAGCAGTGAGTTCCATAGTTTAGTTTAGCTATGCACTGCATGAAGAAGTACTTTTCTTTTAGCTGTCCTGAACCTTCAAATAATCAGCTTCACTGGATGTCCATGATTTCTAGTGTTATGAGTGAGGGAGATAATATTCTCGCTATCCATCCTCTCCACGCCATGCAAATTTTTATAAACCTCTATCATATCGCCTCTTACTTGACTGGTGACTGGGAGTGGCTGCCAGGACCATATAACACCAGTCATAAAAGATCTTCCCTGGCTTCCAGTACATTTCTGAGCACAATTCAAAGTGTTGGTGCTGACCTTCAAACCCCTTAACGGCTTCAGTATACCTGGTCCAGTATACCTGAAGGAGCATCTTCACCCCCATCATCCAGCCTGGACACTGAAGTCCTCCTCCGAGGGTCTTCTGCTTGTTCCATCACTGCGAGGTTCCATCATACAAGGAACCATGCAGAAGGCCTTTCTCAGTAGTGGCGCCCTCTCTGTGGAACGCCCTCCCTTCAGATGTCAAGGAGATAAAGAATTACACAACTTTTGGAAAACACCTGAAGGCAGCTTTGTATCGGCAGGTTTTTAATTCTTGATGTTTTTATTTGGTTTTTAGATTTGCCATAAGCCGCTCAGAGTGGCTGGGAAAACCCTGCCAGATGGGTGGGATATAAATAATAAAATGATTATTAATAATAAAATAATAATAATTAGCATTGGTGCATTTTTTTCTTTTTTTGCTTTATTGGGTGGTAACAAAATATTTCTCATATCTGTTTTGTTTAATAATAGTTACAACAATTGCTTCATTATTAAAATGAAAACCAGGAGCAAATATTTTTTCAATGCCTACATCTAAGTGTGAGAATAGTTGTTCTGAACCAGCTAATCACAGAATAGAGTCAGTCCTTGGTTGAAAGGAGCAGATGATACATACTTTAGACTGCACCTTTTCTCTGTTTTCCAAACAGAGTCTTTTAAGATCTGTGGTCCTCCAGATGATGATGATGATGATGATGATGATAAATAAATAAATAAATAAATAAATTTATTTTATTTATACCCAGCCCTTCCCGGTTCAAAAACCGTGCTCAGGGCAGATAACAACAAATTTAAAACACTTAATTATAAAAGCAGCATAAAATACAGTATAAAAACATAAATAACAATAAAAATCAAAAATCAATTTAGGGGAAATAAGTATTAGATAATCCCCAGGGCTAGCTGGCTGAATTGGTCCTACTTGGGCCAGCGAGGAGGCCAGGGGAGAATTAGCTGTGAGGTCTCAGAGTGGGTGATCATCATAAAAGGGAAGGGGAGGGAAGAGAAAGGAAGGAAAATAAAAGATCAGGCTGAATTCAAATTAAAGGCCAGGCAGAATAGATCTGTCTTACAGGCCCGACGGAAGGAGGTTAAATCCTGAAGGGCCCTAGTCTCATGGGACAGAGCATTCCACCAGCTTGGAGCCATCACTGAAAAGGCCCTGGCCCTGGCCCTGGTGGAGGATAGTCTGACTTCTTTAGGGCCCGGAACCTCTAAACTATGGTTATTCATGCACCTTAAGGTACTCTGCGGGGCATACCAGGAGAGGTGGTCCCATAGATATGAGGGCCCTAAGCCATGTTGTTGAACTGCAACTTGCATCAGCCGCAGCCAGCATAGACATGCATACATATTTTTATCTGTATGACATCTTCCACAGTTCATACAATGAAAAAAAATACATAACTATAACAAAACAAAAGTAGTCAGAAACAATAAATAAAACATTTAAAAATACTCAACCAAATGGAACAATTTCCACATAAATTACAAGATTTAAAATAAAGGTACATGAAAGCAACAACAACAACAGCAACCCCCAAATAACATCCCAGTCCAAGAGTCTTTTGAGCAGCCTCAGCATCTGTAGCTGGCGTAAGACAGGGTCCTGCCCTCCCAGGCCAGGTGGAAAAGGCCTGCCAGGCAGGGAGCAGGTCTTCCACGTCTCACAGTGGTTGGAATGATGGGAGTTGTAGTCCATCAATATCTGGAGGACCACAGATTCCTAATTCCTAAGGTAAATAGCTTCATACAAAAATATTTTTTTTATGAAGAACAAGCTGGTGGGGCGTCAACTTGCCCCCCACATTGAGGGGGCCCACCCACATGACATGCCTTTATTATTCATTAAGAATAAAAAACACACCTTTACTTTCCTGCCCCCATAGCTGTTATTAGGAGGATTCCTAATACGTTGTATTTTATATACTGTGTCTCCATGACTCTATTTATGTATGAAGGTTCCTTTTTATGTGATTTTTTTCTTTAAGAGGAAGGGGTGTTGCTTTGTTAAAGATTGGCTTTTTCTTTAGTTCATAAAAGGGTATTTTATGATTGATGGGTTCACATGCTTAACATTAATGCCTTTGACATCCTAAATATAACTACTTAAATAAAACAATATCCAGGTCTCTCACTCAAATGAACCAATCACTTCACACAGTGTAAAATGGTTGATTGTCTTCTGGGGATATGGGATGTTTATCAAAATCTGTTCCGTAATTGGAGCCAATTTCATTGATGCTGCTGCTGAGAAAATGAAGTTAACAAGGAAGTTGCATTAGCAACAGTCAAAAAGTCAATGTTTGCTGAGTGGCAGATGGCAATATGAAGAGACAAACAAAATGATCATGTTTCAAAGAGGATTTTCTACAAAAAACAATTATAGTTAAGAGCATAACAAAACATTGGTTTCCATTGTTGCCTAAAAGATGATGTGAAATTGTGTCATTATGTTAAAGCAGGGTTTAAAAGATCTATATCAACATTACAAAAATGCCTAATGGAAAATACTGCTAAACTAACTTGATGCAACATCAACAGCAAGCACACAGGGGCTCCTTGAAGTTGCTCCGTGTGGAGGCTTTTGCAATGTGGTACATGACAGGTAGCTATGAGCCATAAAGAGAGGCACACCCACACAACATATTCATGGGAGACCTTTCTAGAAATTAGATTTGTATTCAAATTTAAAAATAAATAATAGGAGTTTCCAAGAAAGAGAGAAAGGAGGAGTTGTAGGGTAAAACGACACGGCCAACTGGTGCAGTTTCAGGCTTCAGGTGAGGTGCAGGGTGGAAGTTCTTGTTGAGGAAGCAAGAAAATGTTTAGGAGAGTGCAGCTATTCTTAGGTTTCAGATTTGGAGAAGGAGTGGTGCAAAATCACAAACCAATTGGGAGTTTGTGAACTCTGGAATGGAAAGACGAAAGGGAAGCAGGAACTTTAGAAATCAGGAGCTCAGGGGTGGAACTGATGAGAAAGATCTGTAACTCCAGAAGGGAAGAAGAGATTTAGGGGGGAAGCAAAGGCAAGGACTATGGGGAACTCTGGCATGCCTGTGCAGTCAGGCCCCTGCTTTGCTTATCTTCCCAGGTAAAATAGAAGCTTCTTAAATCACAGTGCTTTGGAAAACACAAAATGGCTCTGAAATCTTGCAGAAAGTTCTGCAGTAAACTTTGGGATCAGCATTTAAGAACATAAGAAAATCCTGTGGAATCAGACCTAAAGGGTAATCCTGGTGCAGTGGTACCTCGGTTTATGAACTTAATCTGTTCCGGAAGTCCGTTCTTAAACCAAAGCTGTTCTTAAACTGAGGCATGCTTTCCCTAATAAGGCCTCCTGCCGCCGGTGCCCTTCTACCTTTTGCCTTCCGTTCTTAGACCAAGGTAAAGTTCACCAACCTGAACACTACAGTGGTACCTCAGGTTACATACGCTTCAGGTTACATACGCTTCAGGTTACAGACTCCACTAACCCAGAAATAGTGCTTCAGGTGAAGAACTTTGCTTCAGGATGAGAACAGCAGTCGTGCTCCGGCGGCGCAGCGGCAGAGGGAGGCCCCATTAAATAAAGTGGTGCTTCAGGTTTAGAACAGTTTCAGGTTAAGAAAGGACCTCCGGAACGAATTAAGTACTTAACCTGAGATACCACTGTACTTCCGGTTTTGCGGAGTTCGTATACCGAATAGTTCGTAAACAGGGCTGTTCTTAAACTTAAAGCATGCTGCATCCTACAGACTTCCCCGTCCGCAGTGCACTAGGCCTAGGAGAAACCTCGCTTATGCTAAGACCAGCAGTGGGCAGCTATCTTTAACTTTGTAAATAAACTACAGTATTAAACTTGCTATTACCTATGAGGAGTCTGAATTCAACCAGATTTTGTCTTGAATTGCTCTATACCATCTGGATGAGGTGCGGTCTTCAAGCATAGAGGTTAAGAAGAAGTTAGGTGTTGTTCTAAAGTGGACTTTTAGGCAGGCCTTGATTGTAGAGAGCCATGCTTTGGTTTCCATCAGATGTTGGCCGGTTTCAGCACATAAGCTTAAATGACTTATGCATTTAGGGGAACCAAGGATCTTACGAAGAAAGGTTGCTTGGATTTGTTCAGCTTCTCTACTGAATGCTTGTATCCAAATTGGAATACCATACAATAGCTTAGGAAGGACCTTGGCATTAAAGATATTTATTGTAGCA